CTATTTTCCATGGGCTGTTGGCCCATTTCAGTGGGATTCCATCTGCTATAAAAACAAACAGCAAGAAGCAAGAACATCTAAACAGTGGCTGTTATAATAACCTATAAGTGTAAACACAAATGCTTGGATGGTACTTTAGCAGGTGCATCACATCAATCGAACAAAACAATTTCAGTGGCTTCCCCACTGGGGCCTATATCTTCTCCTGCCACAGGAGGTTGGCCTGGTCTACAGTACCAGATGTGTGTTCCACCTCTAGAAACAGGCATTATATCCAACTGAAAATGCACTGGTTGTACATACACTACATGTGCCACTATTGCACCAGCAAGAACATCTCACTTCACATGTTGATAATGCAGTACTCGGAGTTTGCCATTGAGCGGAATTATAGGGGACAGTTCTCCCCCAGCCATCTGCAGGTGATAGTTAATATTACCTTGCTAGTTTTTTGCACTAGGAACTAGGAACTCTCAAAGGCCACCCCCAGTGGCATACTTTCTCTACAAGACCACACCTCCTAACCCTCCCAAAACAGCACCATCAACTGGGAGCCAAGTGTTCAGCTGCCTGAACCTATGGGGGATATTGTTCATTAAACCACTGCAATATGTTTTAGTTGAATCAATGAAATAGTAGGGCTAGGCATGCAACAGACTAGTTAAGTGATACATGATACATTTCTCTAGAGAAATGGAAAATTTTGCCATTCCCCAGGCCAAACCTCTTTGTACTCAGTAACCAGCTACCAATACAGCATCTTTTTGTAGTTTATAAAGGACAAAGTGGTAAGCTTAGTGATTTCATGGGGTCAGGTTCTCCTTTGCATAAGCAGAAGCTTGGTAAGGCAGGAGGAGCTGATGGCTCCTGTCTGACTAGGCAACAGAATGCTTTCGAAACTTGTTTAAAGTGATTCCTGAGCTCTGGCCCTAGAACCCACAGGTCTATGATGATTCCTGAAGAAACATGGTCATATGGGAACGCCTAGCTGATTCCACTTATCAGCTTGCTTTTAAAACAACTGGACTGATGAAGACTTGGAAAGCCTTTCAGCTCATTTACCCCTCAAAGACTTAGGTAACTGCCAGAATTATTTTTGATCCAGAGAAGCTATGGCTTTACCTCGTGCAAATAGCTTTCACACATTTGAGTGACAAATTTTCTCTGTGCTTCAGTTCAGTACAGTGGCCTATGTTGGGGAAATAAACAACTGTGAGAGGTGGTTTGTATATAACAGATAGGCGAGGGTTCAGATTCCAGGTGGAATTAAGGAGAGAGATAGGACATGCTCTAACTTGGAATAAGGTAAAATACGGAAGGGGAGGCAGAGTGCCCAACCTAGAAGGTCATGGTATTCTGAATTCTCAGTGTCATTGCCTTTGCCTGCACAATGTAAGTGAAAGACTAAGCAAGAGAATAAAAATCCTCAATTACAGTTTAGAAATTGCTTTCAAGGCAGCAAGAAATAAAATGCTTTCACTTTCTTGTATACTGGCGTGTTTGGGGACTAACAGAACATTTTAGCAGCTGGCTTTGAAGTAGTCTTGATTTCTGTGTCAAGTAGCACTGAAGTTCACTATAAGATATTACACTGCTTGTCTTAAAGTGAAGATTTGAAGGCTTCTAAATATACCAGTGTCTTTCATTAGGAAAACGATCAAATAGGCAAAAGAGGTTAGCCTTGTTCACTGTTGTTGGTACCCAGTCTTAATATATGCCCTGGAATATTTCATAATTAGAAATTTAATTCTTTATTAAAATATTACTCTAATAAGATACATTGGAAGAATATAGAATTGTCTTTTCTATCTATATAAATAAATAAATAGATAATTTAATAATGTTAAATTCCTTGGATCTCACTTTTTAAATTCTAATTCAAGGATAATAACAGTATCTGATTTTAATGGTTTCTACAGAGATGAATTAAGAGAACCCATGCCAAGTGCTGACAAAAGTTTTGTACCTGCCAAAGGCTTAGAAAACAGTAGCAATCCTAATCTTTATCTTGTCAAACTCCAGTTTACCCATTATCTGTATCCTGGGGATAGGTACCTGGACTTCCCTAGGCTTATTTGCCCTCATCTGTGAAACAGGAATAGTGATATACTCACAGTATTGTCAACATGGAATGAGAGACTGCTACATTAAAAACATCTAGCACCCAGCATGGTAATCAGTGCTGGCTCATATTTTCAGGAATGATGGGCTACCTATTTGCTCAGATCTCTTAAGCTCTTTAATTAAAAACCCCTAATATAAAAGAAAGCTCTTATATAAATGCATCTCCACCCTTTTTTGGAGCTCTGGAACTATTGTAGCCCAAAGATATGATGTCACCACTTTCTGTTCTCAAGGAAGACATCCCTCCAATGGTCTAGAGGCCAAGAGTCAAGTTTTAATAAGCAAATACTATTCCCAGTGAGTCCCAGGACACTTTTGCCTGTGGAACCTCTGTCATCATCTTCCGAAAGGCAAGGTGTTTCACCCATAATATTGACTGCTACCAGACATCATGCCAAGTACTAAGGCCAGACTGATAAACTGCTTCTAAGATCTTCGTGCCCATGGAGACAATAGAAAAGAGAAAGAGCTCTCCTTTTTCTTGGGGTTCTGGAGCTAGTATTTGGCAGGGAGAGAAGGAGAGCAAAATGGCTTGTTTAAAGAACACACAGAGCATATGCAAAAGGGAAACATGGTAAGAGAAGGATGACCTGGGAGTAACGAGAGTAGCTAGGAAACCTAGGCTTGCAGTCAGTGCTTCCAAACCCATGATAAAGATAGGCTAAGGACATCATTGCCCACTGAAGATTCTGAACAGGAGATGTTATGATCAGATCACCTTATGGTGAAAAGAGTGTGCATATGGAGGAGGAGAAACAAGTTTTCTTATATCTGATGTCATAATAAATGCTGCTCTGTCCTTTGGGGGGGTGAACATAACCTCAGTATAAGAAGTAGGAGGGCAGGGAAATGTGAAGTTCAATATGGTTGCACCTTGCTGGGACATTTAGAAGTAGTAGTTATGGTACTTAGTAGAGACATCACACGTGGTCTCTGAGGGAGATGGTTTCTAAGGTTGTAGTCAATGGTCTCCACATCCTGGTTTCCATATCCTTGTTCAACCCTCTCTCCTTGAAGGGAAGCTGTACCTAGTACTTTCTTCCAGCAAATAGAATGTAGCTAAAGTTATGAGATGAGACTTCCATGACTGTTACAGGAGATGGCATCTTCCGTCCTGTATTCATCCCCTCTCCGTTCCTCCCTCTGGAGAAGCCCATATAACAAGGAAGTGAGCCAGTGATAACTGAAGGCCTCAGTCCAACAACCCTCAAGAAACAAAAAAGCATCCACAGTCACCTAGTGAGACAGCAAGCAGTTCCACTTTTGGTTAAGGATCACGGCTACAGGCAGGACCAGTCACCTTGTAGCCTGAGGGAGACACCTACACAGAGGACTCAGGTAAGCTGTGTCTGGCTTCCTGTTTCACAGAAACTTTGTCAGTCATTGTTTTGCCTTAAGCTACTAAGTTTGGAGCTAATTTATTACACAACAACATGGAGTTAAGATGCTCACATGATGTGAGACATCAAGAGAGGACAGAGTATTGAGAAGAGTTAATGAAAATTTTAATCATATACAGCAGGACAGTGAGATAACCAAGGATGGTGAGGCAGGGGAAAGCTTTAATTCTGACAAATATGCAGATTCTAGGCTGGGTTGGGGTACAAACTAGCAAGGCTCCCCTGGGTTTGCATACACATCTTATACAATGCTGTCAAGGTTAAACTCCAATTACTGCTACAGGTGGTGGTATGACCTTTTGAAGATGTATAATATGATCTGGTATGCTCTATAATGTGTTCAAATTCTTGCTTGGATTTTATGATTCTGCATTTCTAAAAACTCTCCTAAAGGCATCTACTAATGAATTTAGCATCTGGCTCTGCAGTACTGATCCAAGTTCTTCGTTTCCTTTCTCTGGATTCTGTCCCCAACAGTGCACTCTCTCTGCCCTTGAAGTATGTCTTTGTTACATATTATTTGTAGTCTTTGGAAATGACTTGTGAACAATATGGAAAAATCTATCTTTGGTGACCTGAGTACATGAAGTCAGAGTCTCCATAGATACACAATCAAGTTATTTCCTTGTTTGAGTTTGTTCCCTATAAAAGTTCATGGGTTGTCACAGGACTCTCTCCCTAGTCTTAACTGTTCCCATGCAGCTTAGACCAGGACTTTCAAAGGATAGGGAGCCACCACTTAATAGCTATGTGGATTTGAGGAAATGACTTAACTTTTCTAAGCAGCCTTGTGGTAGTAACATGCTTCTCTTACAACTGTTTTGAGGAGGATGAAAGGAACTGAGCATGGGCTGGGCACAAACTTTTTCCCAAATGCCCAGCTCTGTGATAAAGCAACTAACCTTTGTGGTTTCTTACCTGTCTGTCTGGAAAACCCTAAACCACTCCAGAGGTTGCCAAGTCAGCTGCAGGAGACATGTCATAAATAGCCCGAGGAGGCAATTTTCTTTCAAAGAGAAACAGGCAAAAGGAAAAAAGCAAGGAAGAAAACAAGGCATCCAGCAATGGGCTCAGCCCCAAACCTGGACAAATACGGCACTTGGCACCAGCAAGAACAAGGTGTGCACTGCCCAGAGTATGTCTCTGCAGGACCTCACAAGCTCAATACTGTTCTGCTCGGCCACCCCCACCCCACACATGCTCATGAGTAAGATCACATGGGGTTACCTCCTGGCATCTATACCAGCCTATTCTAAAACTGGAGTTTCCTGAAATTACCTTGCTTAGTTTTTTTTTTAACGCACGAAGTCCCACCTCAACTTCTACTAATAAAGGCTGTGTTCTGTCTCTGCGTTCTCTTGAGATGACTGGAACAGCTGCAGGGACTACACGGGAAAACACACAGGGCCTGAACAGTTGTTGCCACTACTTCACTGCACTGAAACTCAGAAGACGGTCTGGTGCTGGGTGCTGTACCTGGGCTACGGTCCGGTGTCACCTGCCACCAGATACTGCTTCTGTTTCATTTGCCCCACAGTCCTGCTCCGCATTCACCTCTGGGTTTGCTTCATTGACTTTTGGTCCTGGGATTTGTATCTGGATCCAGGTGTGCATGCACCATCCCTCTTTGGCTTTGCTGTCATTGGTTTCATTCTAGAAAACAATCATTGGTCTTCTACCTCTAAGTTGTAATGTAGCTGATTCCATCTCACTATGAACTATAGGGAAAATAACTGATCACCTCTTCAGAGAGGCCCTTCCTGACAACTATATGTAGCCCATTTCTCCCCATCCTTGGCATAATTATTACTTGCTGCTCAGTAGCCTGTTATATTGTCTCCTTAGTACAATATGATTTTTTCTATATTTGGGGTCATAGAGTATCTATTTGGGATACCTAGTTAGTAGTGAATTAAAATCTTTTTTATTGATTGATTTTTAATTTTTTTTTCTGTGAATGAGTGTATTGCCTGCATGTGTGTAAGTACACCCATGTCCTGCAATGCCTGTGGAGGTCAGAAAGGGCATTAGATTCCCCTGGAACTGGAGTTACAGATGGTTGTTAGCTGCCATGTGGATGCTGGGAATTGAACCCAGTTCCTCTGCAAGAACAGCCAGTTCTCTTAACCCCTGAGCCACCTCTCCAGTCCTAGGATTAAAATTGTAAAAAATATTGTTATAGCATCCAATATACTAGTAATTAGTCATATATGGCTACAGAGCACTTGAACTGTGGTTAATCATAAATGATATATACTGTAAATATAAAACACATTCTGAATATCCTTTACCCAAACTGCTTGGGACCAGAAGTTTTCAGATTCCTGAGTTTTTCAGATTTGAGGATATTTGCATATATTTCATTGTTGAACTTACCTAATCTGCAAATCTGAACTTCTTTAAAGTCAACATGGTTCTCCAAATCTTTTGGAACTGGAGCATTTCAGATTTCCAGTTTTTGAATTAGGCATGATCAACCTGTATGAGAAGGAGGAGGAGCAAGAGGAAGAGAGGAGGAGGAAGATGGGGGCGGGGGAGAAGGTTAAAACATGCCATTAATAATTTTAGCATCAATTACAGTGTAATGATGATTTTTGACACATTGGATAAAATAAAATAAAATATTAAGATTAATTTCAATATCGTCTTTTTGTGTTAAAATATGGTCACTATAAGATTTAAAATTATATTTGTGGCTTAAGTTGTATTTCTGTGGCATGACACTGAGCTATGCCTTTGATTACTTCCTTAGTAAGACTTGAAATGTCAGTAGATTTGGCATGGTGTCTCTAATAGTACCACTGACAACAATAACTTAGAATTTTCTCTACCGGTTCCTAAAGCTCGCTTGTTTTAAAAAACAGAGTTGCCCTTTACTATTCCACATGTATCTACTCTATATGGACCACTGTGCAAGGTGATTCTTATTGCATGTACAACCTAAATTAATTAGGAAGGCCCAGAAACCTAACCCTATCCAAGCATGAGTGCTTAGAGTTGGGAGGACATTCACACATTTGAAAGAAGAACAGAGCAAACGATGTCAGAAATGAGCTCCAAATCTACTCCCACCTTCTCTCGGTTCTCTCTGTAAGAATGTTGGCTGTTTCTATCTCCTTCCTCTGATGGAAAGTTTGATGACCACTTCCAGGGACACCCTGGGAATCAACTCCAAAAAGCATGTTCATTGGTCTGTGCTGATCCTGCCAGAATCCCTGGGGCCAATCATAGGTGGGATGTGGTCATTGCCCAGGAGTTGTCATGTATTCCATGTAAACAAGTAGTTGGTTAAACTGATGGTAAACCTATATTAAAACCAAAGAATTGAATGAAGCCAAGGAAAGAAAATCCTTCAGAGCAAAGGAGATTGTTTTAAAATAAGAGAAGTTATGCTTAGCAGACAATGACAGATTCATGTCTGCCATGCCATTGTCTTCTCTAGGAGAACAAAATAAAGAATTATGAAAACTTGGCTGAAAGTAAAGAGGAGGACATTGGTACTCAACCTTCAAAACAGCAGAGAAACAGCAGAAAAATTTAAAAGAAAAGTTGTTCTGTGTGTGCAGTTTGTGAGAATAAATGAGACTCGTACACGATCCTTCCTTTACTAGCACCTGCCTTTGTGTGTTGAACACAGCTAGCAGTGAATGCAGACACAGCCACAAAAAAGCATGTGGCTTCCATACTAGCTACTTTCACATCCTGTGACCAAAATCCCCAAGACTTGACAGAGGAAACGTTTGTGTTGGCTTATAGTTTCAGGGGATCCCAGGCCACCATGACTGGGAAGGCATGACAGAGTTCATGGCAGTAGGACTGTGTGACACAGTGTGTGTGTCATATCATAATGGACCAGGAAACAGAGTATGGCCAGAATTGGAGTCCAAGCTCCAACCCTCACAGATGCAGCCCCACGATCTGCTCCTGCCAGCCAGGCCCAGCCTCCTAAAGGTTTCATAGCCTCCCAAAACAGCACAGCTGGCTAGGAAGCAAGCACTCAACAAACATCTGGGCCTGTGGGCAATGTTCATTGTCAATCATAACATCTTATCATGGTTGAATATTACTGCTAGCAATTTGTTGAGTACTAACAGTGTAGAACATAGAATTAAAAATAGTTCTGGCCTACTAGAAGAGCACTCTTCATCTGGTAATTTTATCTGTTAAACATGTCCCTGAAAAAAATCCCTTTAGCAAAACTGAAAAGTTTCCCACCCCGTATGAAAATGCCCCTTTTTTCTCTCAAGAGGCTGGTTGCTTCCTACACAGGAAAATGTGCTTCCTCTTCATTTGTAGTTTGGTTGCCCAGCCTCGTGCTGCAAAGCTGTCCATCATCTTCCCAGCACCATCATGGGTATCCAAAAGTACAGAGGCTCTTGTCACAAGAGTTAGTTTGCACACATTTCATTAGAATTGAGAATATTGGGCTTCGAAGTTGAAACATAATTAGACATGAAAATACAGACACCGAAGAGATCTTGGAATAATTTATAAGCTGGGCCAGTCGTGCCCTAGAAGCCCAGCGAGCACATTGAAATGCTTACACATCCTTGCATTCACTTCATAAAGACACATTTGGAAAAGGTATTCCCTTTCTTTATTCACTCCTTTATCTCTGGAAAGATAATACGTGTTTGTATTCTCTTGTTTATTTTATTCTCATTTCTTTCTGGCTACTCAGTTTCATCACTACAAAGAGGTAAAACTCTGAGCTTCTCAGCCAGGATGCTGGGCTCTTGTCTAAGTCCTTGGGGCAAAAAGAGCTGGACTTTGTTAAGTGTGTTTGAAACATTTTGAAATAAGAGTAAGTTTCTTGTCTAGAAGGGAAGAGGGTTGTCTTAGGTGCTAACTCCAGGCTAGTACACACTGCACGATCAGCATGTTCTAAGGAACATGTTAGCTTATGTTTCCACTCCCTCACCTTTCTGCACTTTGTGGAAGTCAGAGACAGAGGCACACAAGAGGTGGGCATTGCATAGATAAAAATCTTTGCTACAGGTATGCTATGACCAGGCAAAACCTCAGAGTTTTGTTTATATCGGTTTTATTAGCACAGAATGCAATTTTCCTGATTTGGGATAAATGGATACTTTGTACAAATCATTGAAAATCAGTTCTCCAATGTATGTAGCATCTTGGGAATGAAAATCTACTAAGACATTTTTAAAAGTGTTGAATGGTAAATGGGGGAACATGCTTTTCTTCCTGGACGCTTTCATGTTTAATTAAGTCTGTGAATTCAACATTTTTTACCTTCCTCATTTCAAATCGCAGGACAACTAGGGCCTTGCCTTTCTGCCAGAAGGCGCAAACCTGCAAGTCTAGGTTTGCATGTAATGGTGATTCATTTTTGTAACTGAGGGAGGGAAGAAAACACACATAGCTTCCTTAAGGCAGAGAATGTCATTTTTGGAATAGTCAGTAACTTCTGGCTAAACAGTGCCAGATTTATTTTAAAGGAACGTTCCTTGGCTTTGTTTGTGTTCATTTATGAATTTTGTGTTTGACATTATTTCAAGGCAAAGAAAAAGAATGAAGCTAATCACCCATGCAAATAACCAAACAAGTTGCATTTATTTGTAATTATAAGGACTCGTAATTATTTGCCTATGTAAAATATCAGTAGTCATGAGATCAGAATACATACTTGAAAATACTCATTGACTTATAAGTTTAAACATTAAAAGCAGCTTTCAGCATTAAACCCTCAGTTGTTTTTGTTATTGCTCTAATTGTGATAGTTTTCGTCTTCTATGAGACACAGGAAAATTTCTTCCAAGTGTACTCCACAACTTTACCTTGATCTTTTAAGCATCTAGAAAATAATTTGGCTTTTTTTGTTTTAATATTTTATTTATTATTTTTCTTTTATGTGTATGTACTGCCTGCATGTAGGTAAGTGCACCCATGTCATGCAATGCCCGTAGAGAACAGAAGAGACTGTCAGATCCCCTGGAACTGGAGTTATGGACAGTTGTTAGCTGCCATGGGGGTGCTGGGATTTGAACCTGGGTCTTATGCAAGAACAGTCAGTGTTCTTAACCACTGAGCCATCTCTCCAGCCCCAACAATTTGTTTTTATCTCGAGGAGAAGGAAGAAATAATTTGGCACTAAATGACTAAAACTTTTCTCTGCAGTAATTAAGCCCTGAGTCAAATGAATCAGAATTATAAGGAAATCCAAAAATATTGGGCCTGGAATTCAGGATTCAGAGTTTCTCCCCTTCCCTACCTCCAAACTCTGTCCCTCCCCTTCCTTCCCTACATCTCCCTGTCCCTCCCCTTTTCTCTGATGTTTCCTATTTACCATTTCTCAATTTACTATCATGTCTTTGACACTTCCTGATTACTTGAGTCCCCATGGCATATTGTCATTTTTCTTACAAAAATTTACAATTCATCAAATCTGGTCAAAATATATAGTCTCTGTTGGGGCAGTTATTGTTAGGTTAGGATAACTGCTGTGTTGAGTGCTATGACTCACACTTAGTAGATATGCTATTCATATAAATCCATCTAACTGATATTCCATTCCATCCTGGTGCAAGTTAAAGGTAAGTATGAATGAATTCTACTTAAATCCTCCATAAACACTAGAGGTCAAATAGTCCAACCCCTGCCTCCAGACAAGGGCCCTCTCTGACCTTATGATTAGTCAACCTATAACCCCCAGCCTTTGATAACCTCTGTCAAGAATATCATCCCCCTTCAACACTGCTTTCCAATACAGAATTCTCTCAGGAAACTGTCAGCATCTGCTGGTGCCTGTGATGGGCCCCATAACCCTCCTCCTACTTAGTTCCTGTGCATTTGCCTCCCACAGTGAGTCAGGGCTGGGCTCTGCTGACTACCTAGGTTACTACGTGACTCCAAGTTTAGGTCATTGCAATGGTTAACCTTGATTGTCAGTTTGATTGGACTCAGGAATGCCTTGGAGTCAGGAAGGCATGTTTCTGGGTGTGTCTGAGGGTGTTTCAAGAGAAAATTAAGGAAGACCTGCTCCGAATATGGAGAATATGGGTAGTACCATCCCAAGTCTTGGGGTCCTAAGGAATAAAAGGAGAAAAGAGAAAAACCAAACAGTGCAAGCATATCCATATCCCCACTCTGCCTTACCTCCTTCCCTCTTCCCCCTCTCTGCTTCCTGGCTGTTATGTGAGCTGCTTTGTTCCACATACCCTCTTCACATGAAATCTCTGAAACTGTGATACAAAATCAATCTTGCCTTTCTTAAGGTAACAATGAGAATGCTAACAAATCATTAAAGGGACAGCAACTCCTGCCTTAGTCCTTTGGAGCTAGCTTCTTAAACTGTGGGTCATGACCCCACACAGGGTTGCATAACTGAATGTGGAGATCATAAAAAAAACACCAATACGGAAAGGTTCCTGAACACAAAACGACAAAAATTCATTCAAAACCAAGCATTTAATGAACCTGGGGCTTTGTATCCTACACCTGGCACTGGGTTTTTTGGT